TCTTATAAATCACCAATTGTTACAGTGACATTGCTTAATACTGAACACAATCATCAAATTGATATTGAAACTACAAAATTCGCTACGGCTTACAAAAGTTTTTCTCAGGAAATTATGGAACAAATCAAATATTATGTTATATATGGTCGATGCGATGCAACAATGATTAGGAATCTTCTTTAACCCAAGTATCCAGATCATATCTTTCTTACTCAAGATCTTGGGAATGCCATTCAAAAGATAAAAAAAGAACATCGAATAAACTTAGGTGATATGGCATCTTTATTAACAAAACTGTTAGAGTTTCAAGCTAATGATTCACGGTGGTTTGTAAAGCCATTAATCGATGATACAAGTAGTCGGTTAATTGGTATTTTTTGAATGTCACCAAAACAACGTGAAAGATGGTTCAAGTTTTATGATATAATTATTCATGATAATACTGCGCAAACTAATAAGTATAATTATCCATTGAGTCTTTTTATTTTAATTGACAATTACAATAAGAGTAGATTAGCAGCACAGGTACTTATACAGGATAAAAGACAGGAATCATATGAGTGGTTACTTCGGTGTTGTTTAGAAGTCTGTGAAATTCCTTCATTAACTTTCATTACAGATGCGGATCCTGCTATGGTTGCCGCTATTTCTATTGTATTTCCTAAAACTCGCCATATGCAATGTTTATATCACCTTTATCAAAATCTTCCAAAAAATCTTCGATCATGCTTAGGCACACTTTATCAAGATTTTCTCAAAGATTTTAAAAACATTTAGCGTTCTTATTGTGAAGATGTATTTGAGAAAAGAATTGAAGAGTTATTTGAAAAATATAGACCAGGAGAAAGATATATAACAATGTTGTTAGATCAGAAACATATGTGGGTAAAATGTTTTACATCTCGATGTTTCACAGCAGGAACACAATCTACTCAACATGTAGAATCAGAAAATGCATTAATTCAAAAAGTTATACAATCAAGTTATTCTCTCTTGAAAGTTCAGGAAGCTTTAGAAAATCGACTTGAATTTGAGTCGATTAATAATCGTTACTCAATTTGAAAAACATCAACAATTCAATATACACAACCATTCGTTATACAAACATTTTTTACTGGTATCGATTATATAATTAAAAAATATCTAACTCGGCCAATTTGTGATGCACATTATAAACAAATGTGTCAATCTGTATGTTATTGTGCACATCAAGTGCCAATGTCGAAAATTTTATTTTCAGATGATGATTCGTTTGAACCATTTTTTGAAAAAAAA